CTTTGCCTGGAACACTCCAATATGATAATCAAAAGTGAGGGCAAATTAGACCTGTTTTTGATTACTTTTCCGTGACACATACACAACGTAAAATGCATACCATGAAGTTGCACTTAACATGTTTGAAAAGGTAATTTCCTAAGCTATTTAATGAATTAAATTTTGGTCGGATTAAATCGATCAAAGTGAATGAAACCTTTGCCTCCAATATAAAAATGACAAGTGAGGGCAAATTAGACCAAAGTGAGGGCAAATTAGACTTAATATACTTTTCGTGACGCATACACTCAGTCACTTTCTGCCAAGTCATCCTTGCAGTGAGTACACGCTTTTTTGGCTCCGCAATCAGCCACTTTTTTCACCCTTTTAAAGACAAGGTAAGAGCAAACACCCTATCACTTACGTTTTCTAAGGTTATCGTTATATTGCAGACGGTAATTTTTTACCACAAAACACGGTTGCTTGTGCACAGTCTCCAATTATGTTAAGCAGGCTCTCAGGTGCCTGTAAATCATGCAGGTTGCTGCTTTATTTAGGGTCTGTTGCAGTCTGGTTCCAATACTGCATTAGCTACATAGATGCCAGCAAGGAATCGTTTGAAACCAGTTTTGAGACAATTGACTAATTTGGTAGTGAGTTATGACGTAATTAAGAGTAAAAATTCCCACGCTAACGATTTGTAATGGACCTTCAGAAAACCAGTGAGGGTGGTAGGCCTCTCATAGACCTACATGAATGCAATATTTCGTTCGGAACAGTTTTAACCTCTAAGAGTTATTTAGGCTCAAAGTTTTTTCCAATATGGCGGTCACCAGGAGCCAGTTTAAGTCCCCTACTCGGTAAATTGACGCCATATTGAGGCTATACTTTGACTCTATATCTCTGAGAGGATTTAACCGTTTCACTTCAGATTTGGTGACGAGGAAGTTACGGGTTACTGTTCATCGAAAGCAGCAAGACTAGGGGGGAACTAGCACATAACTGTCCTTCCCCTCTTAATGTAATTGTAATGGAATTTCCTTCCAAACTAATTAGGGTTAGAACTAAATGACTGCATTATTTGTCTCGGAATGGTTTTAACCCCTAAGAATTATTTAGGCTCAAATTTTTTTTTTCAATATGGCGGTCACAAGGAGCCAGTTTTGACTCCCTATATCTCCGAGAGGATTTCACCGTTTCGCTTGAGATTTGGTGACGAGGAAATACGGGTTATTGTTGATCTATAGCAGCAAGACTGGGCGGAACTAACACATAATTGCTCTTCCCCCCCGGAATGTAATTGTGATTGAATGTCCTTCCAAACTAGTTCATTTCGATCAAACCTAACGGAACAACTGAAGAAATTAGCCAGTCGAGGAGTAGAATTGGACGATGAGGCACTAGAACAGCTGGACTTGCTGGAGTTGGGTTTGATACGTTACCCAGATTTAGAGGACATCACACAGGAGCAACTAAATCGATTGTATGGGCAAACGGGCATCATAAGATCAGCGGCCCAAACAGTTAACAGAGTGTTAACAGTGGATTGTGCCAAGAACCTGATGGAACTTCTGCATTATCTATCTCGGGCAATCTTCAACTCAATGGTGCACTACACCATAACAGTTGACGAAGTTTCAAGAGAAATGTTGACCCAAGTGACATCCATTCATGATTTCTGTCTGAAAGTCGGAGAGGAGAAGAGACAAGTGTCCATGTCAAGGCACTTAACTGGCACATACCGACGACACGCAATACAATAGGGGGTGACCTTATGTCCGTGCCAACCTGGGCCTGACAAAACTACCTTCCCTCAAGATCATAAGTATAAAGCAAACCCCTTCAATGGAAACCCTCTTCAGGTCCTTTGGAAGTGCTGCTGAACTTACCACCACAGGATGGTACAGTGGAGATGAAAGCATAAAAAAAGTGAACTGCTGCACAGTTGCAATATGCAAATTAATTCAGCAGCGATTGCACCCGCAATCCAAGCCTCCGAGAGTTCGGATTGACGGGTCAGATGTCTGTGAATCTGTAGTAGCACTCATCCAGGAGATAGAACAGTTGGTAGCTGTAATAGATGAGAAAAGAATGAAGCAGTTGGTGGAAGAGTACAGCGACCGTGAGCAGGAGTTTTTAGAAGAAGAAAAGGACCCCAGCTACAGTCCAGAAGCAGAAGAACAAGAAGAGGAGGATGAGGATGTTGTGGCACCTTCACCTGAAGCAGCCCCCACTGCTTCCAAAGAGAAATCCCAAAAATTCATCGGTAGAGAGAAGAATGTAGTGGCACAATATCTTTCTGGCAGCCAGGAAGATATTGTGCCACCACCTACAGAAAAAGCCCAGAGTGCCTCCACAAGCAAGGGGAAGGCCACATTAGCAGGGAAAGATGAGCCCAAAGAAAAAAGCAGAAAGAGAAGCCACCACACGAAAAGAATGTTCCCGCGTATGCAAGAAGAAAGACGCCAATTCTAAGAGGCATCTCTCGACCCATGCCAGAAAGGGTTACAAAGGCGGAGTCGGTAGCTTCAATCCTGAGCATTGCAATCAGCAAAGGAAAAAGGCGAGGGCCTGCACGCTCAAAATCAACAGGCAAGCAAGAGAGGAAAGGCTTGAAGCTGAAATGGTGCCCTGTAAAGGGCTGCCAAAAAGTCACGCATCTACAAAGAAGTTACCTTTCCAAATTCCACAATATCAAAGCTGGCTTTATAATGGAGAAGTATCTCTTTATGGCAAGGGAGTACAAAGGAAAGGCTGAGGTAAAGCAGATGAAAAAGGAAATGAGAGAAGGCAAGCAGAGAACAACCAACGAAACCCTCAGCGACCATCACCTCCTCCACTTTAGACGAGAAAACCGCCCCCATGGAAATTACCTCTGGCCCAAGCACATCCCAAGCTGAAGACCCTGAGCAACCTCCGTCACCATTCCCATCCTGATGCCAACAGATGTACCTTCAGATGTACCTTCAGATGTACCTTAGCAAGTGTGTACACTCTTACTTTGTCCTTTCTTGAGGCTCTCCGACGAAAGTATCACTAGAAGGAAAAGCCTTACAAGTTCACATAGATGGTGCAGATGTAAGCCACACACTACTCAGTGAAGTCGCGGAAATAAAGAAGTTGATAGAGGACATCAACCAAATTAGAGTCAGAGAGAGAGAGGAAGACGATCCTGAAGACTCAGTTACAGAAGAAAAAGACCCAAGTTACAGTCTGCTAAAAGATGATAGCAGTGGAAGCAGTGTAATTTCGCCATCCAACACAGACGATTCTGAGAAAAGGAAAGCATCGCCTACAGCTAAGAAAAGTAAAGCATCGCCTACACCTTACAAAATAAAAACATCGCCTGCACCTAAGAAAAGAAAAGCATCCCCGGCACCCGATGATATCCCCAAGAAAAAAAAAGAAAAAATCAGACAAGAACAAAACAGAGGAGAAAAAGGTACACAAGGGTGATACAAGATCACACCACGCCGTACGAAAATGCCCTGTGTGTAAGAAGGAACAAAAAAATCTCCCGCGGCATTTACAAGTACACGTCAAACGGAATGAGATAACTAAAGAAGTTGTTGGCTTCACACTCAGTGTGGCAGCAAGACGTCAACGGAAAAGAGCATCCACCAGGGAGAGAAGACTGTTTAAGTGGTGCCCAGTGAAAGATTGTAAGACAGTAACGGCGTACCTCTCAAGCCACCCCATCCATTACCACCGAGTGAAGGGAGCTACGCAGTTAGATCAGTATGTCAAACTGGCGTGCCGCTACCAAGGAGGCAAGGAGGTTGAGAAGATAAAAGCAACAAAAACAAGAGTCACCTCCAAAGAGGAAACTCCTCTGCCGCTTGCGTCTACTTCGCCATTAAGTGCCATCTCCACTAGAGTAACACCGCCACCATCCACTGAGGTAACACTGCCACCATCCACTAGAGTAACACCGCCACCATCCACTGAGGTAACACCGTCACCACTTCCCTCTAGTTCACCGACACTGCCAGTTAACTCGGACCCATTTGCATGGCGTTCAGATGACAGTGACTCCGACCCATCCGATTCAGCAGAGTCGGTGTCCGAGTACTCTAAGGCCACCAGTTTCAAAAACGAAAGGCACCGTTGGATGTGTCTCTTCTATCAGCAATTAAACAAGCCAGACCTGGGACGACAGAAAGGCAGAAATAGGCTGCTACACGCATCTCATGTGCGCAAAATCTTAGAAGACCTTGAGCCAACTGGTACCAACATTGACGTGCTGTCCGGGGATGAGGGCAACATAGTATGGTGTCCGAGTACTCTAAGGCCACCAGTTTCAAAAACGAAAGGCACCGTTGGATGTGTCTCTTCTATCACCAATTAAACAAGCCAGACCTGGGACGACAGAAAGGCAGAAATAGCCTGCTACACGCATCTCATGTGCACAAAATCTTAGAAGACCTTGAGCCAACTGGTACCAACATTGACGTGCTGTCGGGGGATGAGGGCAACATAGTATGGACTGACTGGGTTGACCCTAAGATGGAGTCATTGAGAGCGGCACCATAAGATCGTACTTGGGTTCTTATGAAATGTTTCTTGATTTTGTAACCCAGGAAAGAGTGAGGGCAGGTGTTGTTCCAGAGCTGGACACTGATGTCGCAAAAATATTCCGAAACACTGTAAAGGAAGACCGTAGACCTAGAAAAGTGGCCAGAGAAGTACGAAAAGGTATTGGAGGAGACAGACATGCGTTTGACGAACAAGGATGTGGAGGAATTTAAGAACTTGGAAGCCGTTTCAGTTGCAAAGGACTTGCTCAAACGAGCAGAAGACGGGGCAGAGCTAAGTATTGGTGAGTCAAGTGAGGTGAGAGATTTCCTTTTGTGCTTGGTGACGATCAAAACAGGTCAGCGCCCTGGTGCACTTGAGAATGCGACAATTGATCATTACAAGTCTATGCGGCAGGACACATCAGGCAATCGAGTAATGCTGGTTCCAGCCAATGAGAGAGGTGTCTCCGGACCCGCACCACTATTGACGCGGAACAGCAGGAAATGTTCCAGACCTATGTGGAAAAGATCAGACCGCGTTTTTCACCTAATACCAACTATCTGTTTTGCACCACGGATGGCAAGTCTTTTAGGGAAGGGCATATCTCAAGGCCGTTACCACGTACGTGCACCAGGTAACGTGTATGTATTTAAATGAAATTTAGTGTAGCTTCCATAAATTTAAAGCTTGTCGACCTGCAAATAAAAACACTTAAGCTTAGGATGCTTGTGTTTAATGTTGATAAGATATGATAAGTTTAAAAGATGTCTAAGAAGTAAGGAAATGAAAATAGGCGAGAAAAAATGCTTGTTGCCTAGCAACCAATGGCAGAACAACAAAAAGTGAAAACCACGCCTAATGTATAAATATCTAAACTATCTACATAAGCTATTTGAGCTAATTCTTGCAAAACTGAGGGAACTTATGACCATGAACAGACAGTGTTGAAACACCCTCACTTTTTTTACCTTGTGTTGAATAGCCCTCTTTGGAGGGCATTTCAACCTAAAAAAAATTTTGGAAATGTTGAATAGCCCTCATAGTCTGTTGATTAGCCCTATTAGCCTGTTGAATAGCCCTCTTCTATTCACCTTAAAGGATGCTATAGACCAAGATATAAGTATAAGACTTGTACAGCACCTGAAGTATTCATTAGGGATGGAATACACTAGGTGCACCATATATACTCTGGTTAAAAATTCATAAATAATTTGTATTTTGACTTCCAGACACAAACTGGATATCGTTGGAAAGCTAAAGGCATGTTCTTTTCAGCACAAGCATTGTTGTTGAATTATTTTGTCACGTGTTGTAGAAGATTGACACTTTTTACAGGACTTCTCTATTCCAGGCACTAGTGTTGAAAAGCAACTAGGGTTTGATCAAAACTTTCCTTAATTCGGTCAAATCTATTCAAACTTGGACAGAGAAACATGTAGCATTAGTGGGACCTATCCCTCGAGACACTTTTGAGTTTTTTAAAAAGGCTCTGTCTGGGCAACAAGTTAAAATCTAATAACAGCAAATATTACTCATGAGGGCAATTCAACTGGAAAATGCGATTTTAAAAACTCATTTAACACACAGACGAAAAATACTGAAAACAAAATAAGTATCCAATGAAACGTCGTTACACGGATTATCTCGTGACGTGACAACTTAACTCAACAATCCAACAAAGTTACAGACGAAAAATACTGAATTTTAAGGAATTTTTACCCTTTTTTCACTTTGAACATCGATAAAAAATTCAAAACATAACGAAAAAATCTGACATTCACGTATGTCAAAGACCAATCATCTTACACCAAACACACAAAATCTACACGATAACCATGGTAAACCCGACTAGCTACACTAACTTCGTGTAAAAAGTTGAACTTCCCTCGAAAAAAAGGGAGGCGTTTCAATACAAGAGGGCTTTTCAACACGTGAGGAGGGCACTTCAAGTGAGGGGGAGGGCGTTTCGACAGGTAGAAGGGGGCAGTTCAACAAAAGAGGGCTTTTCAACAGGTGTCAGGAAAGCGGTTTGCCATTTCACGAGGGCACTTCAACTGGGAAACTAGCCCTAGTTAGGAGAACAGGTTGCTCTCAGGTTGAGGTTAGACAGAAAATGCAAAGAATGTTATGAATTGTTAATAAGGCTTGAACACTCTCCACTAAAAAAATTATAGAAAATTTATGTTAAACTTAAATACAACAAAAATAATGTTTTTGTTAGCAATACAAAATGGGCATTTGGTAAGTGCAAGTGACACTTTAAATAAGTCCTCCACGTTGCTGTGACGTCATTCTAAAAAATGACGTCATAAAAGGAAATTTCCGAAAAGGGAGGTTAATCTTTGATAAATCGTTAGAAATTGACAATTCAATGTTTCAAAACCAAAATTTCACTTCTTAAAATTGGAGTCAATGTTGTTTTGTACAATGGTAATTAATTTAACTTTTACTTAAAAATTTATCGCAACTTTGAAAAAGTGAAAAGGTCCAATTCTAGTAGAATTGAGCATGAAAAAGATATACGGAAATAAACATTTTTCACTGGTATGCATAAGAGTCAATCAACCCAAAACTTGTTATACTTAGCACCCACATGCAAATACGTACCCATTTATTAACGTCAGAGAAACGTTTAAAGAGAGTAAACTTAAAGACAAAATGAGGGATTTTTCACACAATTTTAGTGACTTTTGGTATACGCTGATAAACCGTTTCACAAGTTGCAAAATTCTGATAGTGAAGACATATCAGGGACCGCGGAGGGGGAGGGGCTGGTAGGGCCGCAGCCCCACCACTTTTTGGCGCCCCCGCCCCCACTTTTTGCGCTAAAAAGCAAACTAATTAAAATAAAAAAGAGACTTGAAACAAGTTTTTTTCCGTCTATATTCCGCTATATTCTCTGTATTTTCTTTAATTTCAAACGCCAGGCATTTTGTGGGGCTCCTGTGCTTTTCGCGGTAATTGTTTCCGTGGGGCCGACTTTCCCCTTGATCAAACGCCATGCCTTGGCCACCCCTTCGCTTCGTTCGGCAGCGTGTTTTGTACTTCCATTTCGGGCAGAGTTTTTTTTTATCAGTTTTATCAGACGAAATGAAGAAAACTACTAGCTTTTTCAAGCCAAACGAAGCTGAGTAGTTGTTTTGAGTGGATAAAAGTTTTATATTTTGTCTTTCTCCTTTCGAATCAATGAAATATTCGATGGCAAGAAGAATTACATTACTTGAACAGTGAACGCCTGAACGGCCATAGTTAGAAATTTTTCAGATCACTTCAGTGTAGTATTTTCTATACTAAAATTGTAATTGCGTCTTTTCTTGCATTGAATCTGAACTGACCGTGTATGTTGGTCGTTTATTGAAAAATTATTTTCAATTGTCAGCCCTCCCACTTTTCACCTTCCTCCGCGGTCCCTGCATATAATTAAAATTAAAATGTTGCGCTTAAAATGCACTTTAGATTCATTTAAGCTAAGCGAAAAAAGAGTGAAACTAGCGTCCTCCACTAGCTTCACAAGTTGAGAAATTTTCCTTAAAAAGAGTATAAAATGCCCCCATTTTAAACTTTTTTAAAAAACTTCAAAAAATTATTAAAAATCTGCGTTAAGAGGTTAACGTCTGAAACAAGTGTTGATTTATTCGAACAACGAGATACGCGTGTGGATAAAAAATTGTCCTTGCTGAGGCAACTAAGGGAGAATAAGAGCAAAAGCTATTTCAGATCGTCAATGTTGACTTTCAACTAAGGCACTTTTTAGGCTGAAGAAGGAGAGAAAAAAATTCACATCTCCTAAACTGATGGGCCAAACTTATTTTCCTTTTGTTAGAGCCTTATATAGAAACTGGCCAATTGTGAAACGAAAGCTTGCTGCATAATCCTCTATCTGACCCATTTACAGAGCCCCAAGTATTAGCTTTCAAATGAAACTCTGCAAGCTCTAATGAAAAAGAAAAGTGTAAAAGCTCGTACTAGCTTCATTGAAAACATTTGATATTAACAGAAAAATTGTTCCTTGTACAGTTTTTCCAGTACCAGAAAAATCAATGAGTCCAATTGAATCCTGCGTGAGAAAATTGAGTTTGAAATATCCTAAAATTGAATGTTAAGAGCCCTCTCAGCGAAAAATTCAGTTGAGTGCTACTTCAAGCGAGAACCGGGTTAGTCATCACAATTATGCTTAGATTAATTTGCACAATCAGATCTGAAAAACTGGAAAGTTTAGTTGCCAAAGAATGAAATGCATGCGATTTATGGGCCAAAAACGACCAAGTATCGAATGCCCTCACATGACGATTTTGAGCTGACTCAAACTTTAAAAATTCCAAAAATTACAGATTTCAACGAAATAAGCCCGAATTTGGTATCTGAGTATTTCTGCTAGCCAGAATAAAGCATGAATTTTTTCAGTTCTAAACCCCTCAAAATATGGGTTTTGGAAGTTTCGATTTTTCCGACTTTGTTTGGGTAGTCAAATTTTGGCTCTTATAAGCGGAATATAGGAGAAAGTGTATAGACCTACAGTGGAACTTCAGAAGCGATTTTGAAGCGTTTTTGACCACCTTCTGGGTTATGCAAACGTGCAGGGGTTAATGCCGGGTTAGGATTCCGACCATGGAAACAATTTTCGCAATAAAGAAAAACTCCTTTTATCCATTCAGTGCCTCAATCGCTTTCTTTCTGTGCAAAGCGTTTTGCAAATGACCACCATTTGAATTTTTTATGAATTTTTAACTTAGGTGTGCTCTCTGTCCGATGCATTTTTTCGTGATATTTTCATGATAATTCAGAACTGTTTAAGTCTTTTTAGCTCCCCTTTAAGAAACAGCAGGCCCCAGTAGGGACAATCAATCAACAAAGGATTGGATGAATTCCACCGAAATCGTTTTCCATTAGAAGGCCTTTAATTCTAACCCTCAATCCAACTGAGGGCAATTTCCTACTCAAACGTAATTTTTTTTTGGCAAGGCCAAAATAATACCAAATTCAACAAGGATATCATCATTAAAAAGCTTGTATAACTAGCTTCACAACAGTGTCATTCTCGCTTCCAGGCAATAAAAAATAATTTTTTTACGAATTTTAAAGCATTTTTGGCTTACCCTTATGAATAATTCATTTTTGTTAACTATCTGCTATATCTTTTTTTATAACATATAAAAAACAGTAATCAATAATAGTGAAAATGGTTCGTCTGCTTCAAAGGGCATTCGATGGGGTATACAACGATAACTCATTTCTTTCTCAAAAATAAAATCTGATTTTTTTATCGTTTTTTTCCTTACAACAAGGTTAATGAGGGCATTTTATACACATCATGTGACATATCTATCATCCCCTACCTTTACAAGTCATCTTTAGGTGGGTACACGCCGTTTGATGCTCCGTAAATATCACCTTTTTGCACCCTTCCAAGACTAGCTACAGGCAATTTAATTATCCATTATGTGTTTTAAGGTGTTCGAGCCACTCCAGGTGTGATTTTTTGGCCACAAGACGCTGTTGCTTTTGCGTGGTCTCTCATTACATTAACGTTGCTCAGCAGGTAATTATCTCATTAACTAATTCAATTAGTATGTAATTCCCTTAGGGCTCCCAATGCAGCACTGGTTGGATACATGACAGTGCAGGGAACATTTTGACACCAGTCTTGTATCAAGTGAGTCATGCAGTAATGAGATATGACATCACAAAAGAACAAATTTCCCACGGTTGTAGCAACTGATGGTTTGCACTGGAAACTCTGAAATTCACTTAGCCCTACATATGGGCTAAATGCCTGCAAAATTTGGTTGGGCAAGGTATAATCCTCTTAGGGATATTAACGGTTAAAGTTTTTTGCAATATGGCGGACCAAAAACCTTGTCACCAGTCTCTTGTCTCGGTTTTTTACATGAAAACGAGTCAAACTTTAACCCCTAATATCTCTAAGAGGTTTCAAACTTACAGGATAGACTCCCACACTCAAGGGTTATCTCCTGAATAAGGGGGGTTCTCCGAATCCGGGGGGGCTCCTTTTCCTTGCTATTGTAGTTATGGTGCTGAATGTCCATAGTTATGCAACTAGCGCAGCGACGAGTAAGCACCAGTATAGGATATTGTTGATGGTGGTCTCTGTTTTCAGGGGGTCTTTGGATCTGGGGGGCCCTCCTTTTCCTTACTCTGATTGTAGGTTAAGTGCTGAACATCCTTAGTTAAGCGACTACCGCATCGACTAGTAAGCACCAGTATAGGATATTGTTAATGGTGGTCTCTGTCTTTGGGGTGTCCCTGGATGTGGGGGGCCTCCGCTTCCTTACTCAGATTGTAAAATTGATTTTCAGCTTTAAATTGGATTCCTTTAAAGCTGATCTCAAAAAGGTTGCGCTTGATGATAATATTGGAGCTGAACTTAAATTAAAGTTGTCAAAGGTTAAAGTCCCCAGCACTGTAATAAGAAATGACTCGAATACAGATTTCGACACCATCAAGAACCATTTCAAGATATTGTGTTGCACGAGGGCAGCAGCAATCATCCTGAATTATCCATCACTCAACAAGCTGTCCACTTACATGTGTCTATCCTCGATTTTGCTGCCTATTGCAAATACAAGAAGCGTATGAGGTTTGAACCCAACATGCAACATGTGCTAGGAACAGTGAAGACAATTGTCCAGTCGTGGATAGCATTTTTGGAGACAGTAGGCGAAAAAGATGAAGTTGAACAGCTCAAAGCATTCAATACAGTGATCGCAAAAGCCAAGGAGGGTGACGAAGAAAGTTAGGATTTGAAGAGCCTTCAGACCTCAGATTCCCCACAATGGAAAAGACCGAGCCCATTTATATCTTAAGACACCAGTATTAGCATGTGTACGACCAGTTACATATAGCCACATACATGAAAGACACTTTGAAGAACCTTTGTGCCACTTTAATGGGTTACATCATGTGGATACAAAAGGAGGTTTATCCTAAAGAGACTCTTAAACTTATCAACATCGACTACAGAGATTTGGCTGGCTCTATGCAGGAGGAGATCAAGATGTTAATGAGGGTGATGAGAAAGATAGAGCTGGCGGTGCGCGCTGAGCGCATACAGCAAGCAGAAGACACGGTGGCAGAAATCGAAGACGACATTGATGACCAACCACGCGATTTAACTTATGTAGAGGAGACCAATAGTGAAGCCAAAGAATCATGCGATCCAAGTTACGTAGGAGACAGATATTGAATCCGACATCTCGGAACAGATACCATTGTCCACCGCCCTCAGGACCAAGAAGCAAACTAAACGGGCCGAGCCAGCAAAAGAACCACAGAAGCGAAAAAGACCATCAGAAGATTCGGCGGGCAGCACAGACACTGCCTTGAAAAAGGCTAGACCAGACAACACCACAAAACGGTCTCACCACAGTGGCAAAGAGGACGGTAATCTTAAGAGGCACTTAAAATCACATGCCAGAAAGGGCCACATCGAGAACCAGCAAGTGGACAAGACGTTTTTGGTTACATCACACCAAGAAAACACCCATGGACAAGCGCGAAAAACTAAAAAATTGTATACTGACCGGTTTACCGTTCAAGTGGTGCCCCGTCGATGACTGTGAAGTTGTCACTCATCTCATGAGGAGCCACATCACACGTAAACATCGATTAAAACCAGGTCCCTTGTTGGAAAATTACCTGCGTGTTGTGCGATCGTACAAAGGGAAAAAGATTATGAAGGAGATCGAGCTTGCGAGGACCTCCACCAGGCCCCCAACGCACACAATAACATCTGCATCAGCAACAACATCTGCATGCATCAGCTCACCTTCCCCACCAACAGTCCACTCCACAGATAGTGCCATGGAATCTCAAGACATAAAAGAAGATATCACAACTGAGGAGAGGGACGATGAAGAAGAGTCATGCCCTGATGATGAAAGAATGATTGATTATCCAACAGCGTCAAGTCCAAAGGACAAGATGCAGACTTGGCTAGGCCTATTTTACAAGTATCTTAACACGCCAGACTGTGGGAGAAAGAGAGACAAAAACCGTCTCCAGCATGCCACCCACGTTCGAACAATTTTAGAAGATATTGACCCAGAGGGGAAAGACATCGAGATACTATCAGAAGATGAAGGATACATTGTATGGACAGAGTGGGTGGACAGAAAATTAGAAAACAAGCGGTCAGGTACTGTCCGTTCACACCTTGGCTCTTACAATCACTTTCTAAAATTTGTCACCAGAGGGTGAGAACAGACGCTGTGCCGTCCCTCAGCCCCATGGCCCTGGCCATCTTCAAAGATGTTAAGGAAGTGATCTCTGCCTGGTGCCGAACCATTGACCTTGATATGCATCCTCAAAAAAAGCGAGAAAATTCTCAAGACCCGCGATAATAGGCTGACTAATGATGATGTAGAGAAATTCCATAGAAGCAAAGCAATCTTGGAAATCCAAGACTTCGTAGAGGCAGCAGTGCGAGAAGAACCACTGAGCATGGTAGAAAACT